GTGCATTTGCAGGAAGCTCCATCAGAAGCAGCGCTGTGACTCAATCCAAGGTCTCCAACATGGGTGCAGCCATCCCAAGCAATGTCTGGACCCACTATTCCACAGTGTCTGCCCTGAAAGGAATTCAGTTTCACAAAAATTAAAAAAAAATTCTATACGAAAGCATACCAAATAAAATGTAAACAGTATTGTATCAAAATACTGCATTTAAAATTAGTGTAGTGATTATATACATGAATAAGTGTTGAACGCTTATTAATTGAAATCCATGTGAAGGTACAAGCCGGGCAGTGAAGGTACTAGGGATCCAGTAGGAACCAAAGAAGCATTTATTAAAATACCATGCTTTGTTAAGGGTTGACTGACTGTACAGGAAATACAGTATTGCAGATGTCAGTAAGGACTTTAGAGAAAATAAGGGGAAAAAATGAAGTAGTGGAGAAAATGCTGGCTACGGGCCCTGTCTTCTCATGTTTCCAGGGACTTGCATGCTGAGGTACTCTGGTGAGATGTCAGATCTGTCTTGTGTCTGATAGAGATTCCCACAACCCACTTCCTCTGCTGTCCCAGCTCTGTTCAGACTACAAAGAGGTCTTTGCGTGGTGTCCCAACTTGCTGATCCATGACTTCTTTCAAGATAACTCTGGTGGTGTTGCAAGTACATTTAAGGTGACATGTACGATCTGCAGACACTGCACATTCCCTGAAGTTCAGAGAAGTGCTGACATGCTGTAAGCAGAAAACAAATTGCATACGTTTTCTAGCTGAGAGAGAAAAGGTTTTGCTTTTTGTGTGATTTAACTGGGTACAGCATATATAGGGATAAAAATGAAGGCATGTTCTATATAGTTCTTGTGTGTCTATTTTCATTCATGCCCTTGTAGGCCTGACAGGAAATGATTTTCTTCAATTGCAGAATAGAAATAGTTGATTTGTTTGACAACAAGAAGAAAATTAAGGCTAAAGTCTCAGCTTCTTTTGAGTCTGTGTTAGGCAGAAATGAATTGACATATCAACTGGTAATATGGAGCCTGATCTTGACCAAAATTACATGTTGGTATCACTAGTGAGGCTCCAAATATAGTGACAAGCAATATTTTATGGATTCTGTCAGTCTCCTTTTTTTATCCTTGGGACAACAGGAGAGAGATTGTAGGATGAAGGGACTTGAAGTTAAGCATCTCCACTGTGTCATGGGACATCTGTGGGTGTCCTGTGTAGGGGAGGCTCCCATTGGCCCTGTCAGTCATGAAGATGTGGGAGTGCCAAGATTCTTATGAAAGCGTGCAAGTAATCAGGGGTTACACTGTCTACTTGAAATTATAGAGATGCATTACTCTAAGAAATTGAAGCCACATTAATTTTTAGACACTTTCAAATTTAGTCATTGCTTTGAAAAAAAATCACAAATCATCAGTGAATATTTTATGCATCTCGAAAACCGATTTAGGTAGAGTGAAGTGTAGATTTCTTGAAATTGATTGTTGACTATGTGTATTCATGTGAAAAGCGCCACAATGAATACAATAGGTGTAAGAAAAAGGATGAAAATTTCATAGGAGGATTGCATTTGACTCTTAGGTTACCGTTCAAAAATTGCCTCCACTATTTTTTAAAGGGTTTATTTAGTTTTCTTTGAAAGGCAGATTTATAAAGAGAAAGAGACACACACAGAGGACAAGCTTCTATTTACCTGTTTACTCCCTAAATAGCTGCAATGGCCAGAGCTAAGTTGTTCTGCAGCCGGAAGCCAGGAGCTCGGAGCTCCTCTGGGTTGCTCACATTGATGCAGGGGCCAAGGACTTTTACCATCCTCCGATGCTTTCCAAGACCATAGACAGGGAGCTGGATTGGAAGTGGAGCAGCCAAGACATGAACAGGAGGTGGGATACCAGTACTTGCAGGTGGAGTATTAGAGTATTGAGCCACTGTGCTGACCCACATCATGTTATGTCTAATTGGAGCTGGGCCACAGATCTGACCTGCTTCCCCTGCCCAGGTTAATATCTGAGACAGGGTTCTGCAGCTGAATTTCTTACATGACTTACACTTATTAGTCATACCAGTCTTCTCAGTTTGCTAATTATGGGTGACCATGGGCTTTGGATCTTCCATTGAAAAAACTTCTTGGATCCTTTTTCTTTGGGGTGCAGTCCTCTACCTTGTAGTCCATGGTTTGAATTAGTTCTTAAATTTTCATATGGAAGTGTTGTCTGGGATCATTACAATCACAGCTTTGTGGGTCCCACTTTTGGAAGGGTTCCGGTTTTATGAGACAATGAAGGAGTCTGCATTTTGTGTTGCTCCAAGCTGAGAAGCAATTTCTGAATAATTACCTTTAAAAATGAAAGGGTAGGATTTCACTAGAATTTTTCCATTCAAAACCCTGGAAATTGAAGCTATTCCAATGTCTGTCTATTATGCCTCCAAGTCAACAAATTAATTATTGAACTAATAAATTTTGAAAAATTATTTTTGATGATATTTATACAGTTGATTAGGGTTGGAAGGGTTGAGGATTAGGGGAAACTCGGTGAGGCCATTGTTTCCAGCTTTTCTTTTCTCTACATCCTGTATCTAAGGGAAGGGAAAAGGTATGGGGAGAAGCCGCACTCAGCCTCCTGGGTGCCTTAGTACCTGGGAATGGGAAACAACCACACGATATCATCCCAGAATTACTGAACTGAAACATGATCTGAGGGTTCTGCTCAAGTGGTTTTGATGGTTCTGAAATGTTGTTGATCTAACAGATCCAAAGATGAGGAAATCCTTTCAAGGTCCATTGACTGTATTGTCCACCTTAGTCTCCACCCAGATATGTGCTGTTTATGCTTGCTTGATCAATTTGTTCTGTGTTCCTTCTTCTGCTTTGGTAGTAGATGTCCTCTGCAGGCCCCAGTGGACTGCCATATCCTCCATGTGCATCTGGTTATGCCATTCGCTGCTCCATCTAAGCTACTGAGGAGGTCAGCTCTGAGACATGCACTTCAGGGTCAATACACAGATTCTGTGATTCTCTGTATGGGTGGAGTTCTGAGTCCAGTGGTTCAATTGGAGGGAACCACAAACAAACCTCATCTGAAGTGATCCCAAGACCTGACTCTTATGTATACTTGCCAGTGCAGGATCTGGCTCAGTCTGGCACCTACATCAGCCTTTGCACACACTGATAATTACAACTGCTGTGTTAGTTCTGTCTCCAGCCCCATCTCTTATGTAAGCCTATGGATGTTACAGCCCAGCCCAGCCTAGCCCAAACCTGCCCTCCACACACTCAGCCCTCACATACATAAGTGGGAGCTGCCTACTTGGGATGACCCTCAATAACCCTCCCAGGCCTGCCCCCTTCCCTGGTTCCTGTGCTTGCCAATATGTGCAACAGACTGGTTCAGTCTGTCCCACTTTAGCAAATTTTAGTCTTACTCTTTTCTACTTTCTCATCTCTTTATTCCAGTAAAGCTTTTGTTTATACTCATTTCATATATTATAGGAATGAAAGCATTACATGCATATAAATATACAGCCTTATCTCAAGGCCTATCAGTTTCTTTGCCTCCATGGATCCAGTTCATAGTCATCTGTCATCATGGGTCACCAATGAGGGATAAGGTTTGCATAGCTCCCAGGTCACAGAGCATTTCTCCAAGATTCCAGGACTGATTATCATTATGCCTTATGTCTTTCCATCTCTTAAATGTGAAGGAGTCATAGACTTTTTTCTATGCTTTATAGATACAGGAAATGAAAACACTTTCTTTTTCCTTATCCCAAAGCCTTGGTGATTGGTTCAGATCTGCAACTCAGGACTAATAACCTAGGTTTCAGTACCTCTTTCTGGAAAATATGTATCCTGCTTCTTCTATCAATACATTTTCCATCTTCTTTTTTAGACTGCAAAGCATTACTCCCTATGTAGGTATAGTTGTTGGTATTATAAATATGCCTTCCCTTCTTAATGATCTCCCATCTTCTTCTAACGTGTCACAGAGGAGCATCTAGGCCATTTATTTTGTAGGAACTAAGGCCTCACATTTGGTTGGAATCTGGAATGGAAATTGTGTGACGAGAGGGATACATGTATTTGTTATTATCTTGAGGGATTCACCTTCTCCATGCTGATTTTCATCATATTTAACGTCATCTTTAATATAGTTAACATATTTTACCTTATGATAGCTCCGCAACATCATGAGATGCATAAGCTGTTGTCTGCCTCTTGCATCAAGTTAATAAATGGATGCTTTATGTGATTTTAACATTGTTGTTTTGCAAAACACATGACTTCACAGTAATCATAAATTAGCAAGAATGCCAGAAGATCTGGTTAGAGGACGGGAGCTGGGATAGAGAGGAGATTCTTATTCCTCTGGGCTCCTTCTTTCTTTTCTGACCCTTGCCCCTCACTCCAAGGCTTTGACTGTTCAGTCACCACGCGCGTGCATTGCACCTCTGCATGAATGAGCTTTGTTCAGTACTGGTGCACCAAGCACATAAGGAAGGCAGAAGTAATATCAAAAAAGACCAAGTGGGTGGATGGATCTCAGTGCTTGGAAAGAGGAATGTTCCTATAAAACAGAAACACTTGGCAGCAGAGCCAGTGAAAAATGATACCAATTACATAAAGCAAAATGCCACCTATCAGGCAGAACATTTTAATTCCTTCTGTTCCAGGCTATTTATGACTTTTTGTCCAAGACTCAATACATGTCTGTAAAAATAAAAATGGAATCAACCCCATCTGTTAGGTAGAAGGAGGAAATTATATGCTATGGGGGAAATTATATTCTAGGGACTTATTTCAGTGGTTCTTCAAGTGTAACTTTGTCTTCTATGTTTTGATTAGTTGTGTGAAAAAGAGAGGTAAGTATTTTCACTGAGACACTTGAAATGCTTAAATTAATCATCTCTGATAAATCTGCTTCCTGATGGAAAACAGAACCATCCTTCTGTCTAAAAACAAATAAGCAATCCAGTAAAAACAAAAATACTCTGTTTTTCAGGACAACTTTTCCTTCCAATTCTGCCGGAGGTGGTCCAGGGCTCACAGCTGGCTTCCTGGGAGAGTGCCACAAGATGGCGACAATGTCACAGTGGAGAATGGGCAGGTGCTCCTGCTTGACTGCAGAACAAACATCCTCAACCTGCTGCATATCAAAGGTCTGTGGAGTTTGAATATCAGGAAGGTTCTTTTAGGCAATTCTACCGCATGAAAGGGGCTGGAAGGAGGGGCGGGGTATTTGGATCCGTTCTGGAAGTTGTTGCTCAGTTTATTCAGAGACCAAATTGAGAGTTTTACTATGAAAAGCAATAAGTGGTCAGAGGGTTCAAAGGAAAGAACTTTCTTGTGACTTTTAGAAGCATAGAGTGTGATTATTTTAAGTTTCTACATAAACAAGAAGGCTAACAGTGTTCTCAAATAATATATGCTGTTGTCTTCAAGCCCTTTGTAGTTGTGTTTATCCAGTGCAGCCCCCAAAATATAGCAAAATGCCCTAAAATCAGTTCATGCTGTTGCCTTTGAACTTCCCTGCCAAGAAAGCAATGCCTTCCTGCTCTCCCCATGTTGTGGTTTTAGCTTCTTGGTCCCGTGGAAAGTCGTTTAAATAGGCTTTCTTATTGTAAGACAAGCCGCATAGTAGCTCTAGGGGCTAGGAAGTTGAAGGAGATGGAACATTCAGATTCCAACTCTACACCAAGAAATGACTAAGTTGGTGATTTCACCTCTTTATATCATTGGTACCTTATCTGTTAAATAAGAGTATAAATTGCTTTCCTTGGTAACTGATAATAAATAGCGGTTACCAAATAGTTACTAGTCATTTGCAAATGGAAATTTTGGGGAGATGAACTTAGTTTGGGGTATCCACAAAACTACAATAAAATACTATTTTTAAAATATGTTTTTAAAGATTAATGCATCCGAGTGAGAGAGAGAAAGTCAGTGACTTCGTTGCAGCCTCTTCTGTGGATAGCAAAGGTTCAAGTATTTGGGCCATTTTTCTGCTGCCCTCCCAGGCACTGGAGCTGGATTGGGAGCAGAGCAGCTATTCCTTAGACTGGCATTCTGATGTTGGGTGCCAAGATTGGATTGCTATGCTGCTATTATTGGTATCAACTTTCAATATATTTAACACTCAAACATTTGTGCTTTTACGAATTAAGAATATGGATGTATGAGGTGGAAGTAAAATGTTTTAGTGGGATAAACGTCTAGTTTTGATTCCCGTTTCTTACAGAGTAAGATTATTCTGATTAGGCATTCTTGTGATTATATATTCTAGAGGAATTTTTCCCTCCCATATTAAGAAAAATTTCTTATTGAAATCAATCAGTTAGTGGCCTTGCTAGGAGAAAATGGTGTTTCAGTTAAATCTCTTGTAGGACATGTGTGTATAGCTGGTAGCTATGGGAACACTAATCTGTTGACAACAATTAACTTCATAAGGGTTAGCAATGATGAAAAATGTAAATATTAACTTAGACCTCATCTCAGGAAAAGGTTTCTCCTAGAATTCTAGAAAGAATTCTAACTAGGCCTCTGTACTTGGCCAATTTCTGTGGGAAGATGGAATGTCCTTCAGGTGCTCATGGGGCTTGGTCTTAGTGTTCTACAATAATTTGTGAGAAATTTATCAGCTCAAAGTCTTAGATGACTAAGTCTAGATATGTTGTTACTCTCAGGTAATTGTTTAATTGAGGATTGATTGGATCAGATACGGAAGAGGGGAAAGAGGTATTAGAGCAATGTATAGGAATGAAACGGGTATCTGAGGATGTGGTTGTAGTGTTTAGCCTTGTATTCTTCCTACTTTTTGCTTGTGCAGTATTATACTTAGCAGTGAATTAAGCCTATAATTTTAGAGGTATTGAAATCGTGTCTGTGCAAAGCCAGGAGAGAGGGAGGGAGAAAGGCAGTGAGGAGAGCATGACTATCAACTAAAATATGTAACTATGAAATACATGAAATTTCTCCTATTTATGTTAATAAAACTAACAAAGGGAAGAGAGTGCATACTGCATATTCAACCTTTCAATGCTAACTAACCTGGATATCTGTTCCCATGTGTCATCTGCCAATAATGGTTTTCCTTGTAATTCCTGCTTAGGCAATGTACTATTCACATCTTATTCAGAATGAGTGAATTGGAAGGCAAAGTCTTATCCTGTGGAGAGGGAAAAGGTGCTAAAGCCCACCCCCCTCTCTTGGGCAAGGAGTAGTGGACATATGAATGTAAGTAGTAGGTATCAATTTTTGTGCAGTTAGGACACAGACATTATTGGCAGGAAGGAAGATCATGTAGAGTGAAATGATTTTTATCATAGATATATAGACATTAGCTTCTGGAAAGAATGAACAGGAAAATGGGTTTGATAAATTTTGTTCAATAGAAAATTTGTGAATGATTATGAAGTGGTCTAGAGAACCCAGAAATAACATTTAATGTCAACTATGGATATATTTATTAAAGAACAATATGGAGTGAATTTAAAAGAGCAAACTTTAATTCTAAAATAGGTGATACAGGAAATAAGGCAGAATGTAAGTTGAAGTGTTCAGAGTCAAGGGTGAGGTTAAGTGTGTCTGAGACATGTTTTGATCCCATATATATTTATACACAAAATCAGATTGTGAGGAATTTTACCAACTTTATTATTGGAATTCCATGTATCCAATCAGATTACAACCATAGAAGTATCTGAAGCATCTTTTTTTCTCATATCCTATGAATAATCTGCGGGGTCAACTTTTTAACATAATCTGCAATATATGCTCTTTATTAAAACCTCTGTTGATATCAAGCCTGTCTTAACTACTGTGGATTTGGCCAGACTACTTCTGTTTTAATTGGCTCTTCTTTGATTTTCCACCTTTTGTCAAGTAAATGTGATAGCTATTTTTTCCCAGATTTATTTGTTGGAAAAGCAGATATACACATAGGAGATACAGAGAAAAAGATCCCATGTCCTCTTTTTTATTCCCCAAGTGGCTGCCAATTGGTGGAGCTGAGCTGAGCTGTTCTTTTTTTTTTTTTTAAAGATTTATTTTTATTATTATTTTTTAAATTGGAAAGGCGGATATACAGAGAGGAAAGATAGAGAGGAAGATCTTCCGTCCGATGATTCACTCCCCAAGTGAGCGCAACGGGCCGATACTATGCCGATCCAAAGCCAGGAGCCTCTTCCGGGCCTCCCACGCGGGTGCAGGGTCCCAAAGCCTTGGGCCGTCCTCCACTGCTTTCCCGGGCCACTGGCAGGGAGCTGGAAGGGAAGCAGGGCTGCCAGGATTAGAACCGGCGCCCATATGGGATCCCGGGCGTGCAAGGCAAGGACCTTTAACCACTTGCGCCACCGCGCCGGGCCCGAACTGAGCTGTTCTAAAGCCAAGAGCCAGGAGCTTCTTCTGGGGCTCCCAAATGGGGGCAGGGTCCTAAGACTTGGGGCCATTCTCCACTGCTTTTCCAGGCCACAGAAAGGCAACAGCTGGGACATGAACCAATACACATATGGGATCCCAGTGTGTGCAAGGTGAGGACTTAGCCATTAAGCCACTAGGCCACTGCACCAGGGTTCCTAATTGCTATATTTTAAGCTATCACTTTGGATCATGAGGTAACTAATTGAGATGAGAAGGCTGCATAGTCAAAATTCCAGGACTGTCATGATTTGGAGCTGCCATTTGATTGCCCACCTCTGAAATTACTTTTCATAATAGAAAATAAGGCTTCAAGTATGTAAGCCTTTAGATTTACCTTTTATACCATATACTAAATTAAGATCCTAAAAGCTCACAGATCTTTCCCCAGTTAGTTCGTTCCTAAAAACTCTTCAGTGACTTCTCAAGTCTCTAAGAATAACACACAGGTCCTTATCATTATTTAACCTTTGATTCTTTTGTTGATCTTTTCTTCCTCATTCATGTTGCTCAGGACGTTTATCCATGCTATGATATCCTTTGTCTGGGTTGTTCTTCCTTTAGATCCACTTGACTATCTTATTCCATTTGCTTCCTTTTTTTTTAAAGATTTATTTTGTTTTATTGGAAAGTCGGATATACAGAGAGGAGAGACAGAGAGGAAGATCTTCCGTCCCATGATTCACTCCCCAAGTGAGCGCAATGGCCAATGCTATGCCGATCCGAAGCCAGGAGCCTCTTCCGGGTCTCCCACGCGGGTGCAGGGTCCCAAAGCTTTGGGCTGTCCTCGAATGCTTTCCTGGGCCACAGGCAGGGAGCTGGAAGGGAAGCGGGGCTGCCAGGATAGAACCGGCGCCCATATGGGATCCCGGGCGTGCAAGGCAAGGACCTTAACCACTTGCGCCACTGCGCTGGGCCCTCCATTTGCTTCTTGATGGAAAATGTCAGCATACCAGATCAGATCCCTCAGCCTTCTTGTCTAAAATCACTGCCAATTTTCATTACTCCTTTGGTTTTGGTTTTCTTTTTCTCATAATAATTTTTACCACAGGACATTTTAGATATTTATCTCATTGTTTATAGTTTTTTCCCTTTATAGAATAAATTCAGGAGGTCTGCCGTTTTATCAGTTTTTGTACTATTATCCCTTTGATGTCTAGAATAATGCTGGACAGGTAATGCTGACTAAAAAAATATGTATTGACTATTAAGTTAGCATATATCCAAATGGTACACAGTTCATATCTATACTTTTACAATACATACTTATACACAACTGTGTGTTTTTGTATATTATTAAAAGTTGTTAGAAGCAGAAAATCCATTGTCAAGTTCTCAGGTATTTCTGTTTCAGTGAATACATTCTACTTGAAACACATTTGTTTGGAGAAAATTAGGACTAAATAAAAGTAAAAGTAGATCAACTATTTTCTGGCACATCTTTTGATGATGTTGCAATCTGTATATTATTTTTCATTCATGGAAACAGGTAGCCTGATATGTAGAGGGCATGATTTTCCATTGGTTCATTCCCCAGATGATTACAGTGGCCAGGAGACATCATCTGAGTATCTCTCATGGGTTCAAAATCTCACGAACTTGGATTGTCCTCTGCTACTTTCCCAAGCAAGTTAGCAGGGAGTTGAATTAAGAGGAAGAGAATGGCACACATATGGGATACCGTATTCACCCCAGAAGGAAAGGCTCTTCTATCAGGAAGTTTCACCCTTTTCACAGATATCAG